AAAAATTGCAGGCGCTCTGCTTTTCTTTAGAACAATGTATGGCTGCAGCAGTTAGTTCTCAAGGATTTTCCTCGTGGCATTTTCGTGTTCACCATGAATTCCTCGGAATTCAAATATGCCGTATTTCATCACGGCAGCGTTGCAAAATGGTGCGAATTGCAGATATATCGGTGGTAATTTGCGGCATTGATATCTGCGATGACATGGCGAAAATCTTTTTGGTGGAAAATTTGGCTAGTCGTATTATATCCAGGCTATGTTGCCAAATAGTACACATTTTCCACCAAGAAATATTTTACAATGTATCGCAGATATCAATGCCGCAAATTACCATTTACCACCGATATACCCACAATTCGCGCCATTTTGCAACGCTGCCGTGATGAAACACGGCACGTTTTGACATTTAAACGTCGAGGAATTCATGGTAAACACAAAAATGCAACAGGGGAAACCTTGAGAACTAACTACCACAGCCATGCGTTGTTCTGAAGAAAACCAGAACGCCTGCAATTTTTAGATATCCAACACGCACATCCTGAGAAGACGAATAGTTGCATCCAGACCTAGGCATTGAAAACGACGGAGCGCCTTACATGTTCTTCGGCTGTGATAACGAAACGTGCCACTCATTGCATTCGTACGTTGTCGTTGCACGAATAAGAGGCTGTTTGAGTATTTATTTAAATTGAAAAGATAAACATTGAAAAAGACGGAGCGCTTTAAATTTGTTCCGATTGTGATAACAAAATGTGTCGCACTCATCGAAGTCATCGCATTCATACTGCCGTGCTAAGGAAAAACGCCGTATGAACTTCCAGACGTTGCCAATTTTCCTTCGGTAATTCACACTGGAAAAAAAAATCTCGGTGTATTTACTAAGAAAATGGTAAAATTACCAAGAATTTGGGGTTCTATTTGATCCCAGTTTTTACTTGGTAAAATTACCATTTATGGAATTGGTCATTTTACCGAGAAATCTCGGTAAAATTATTGACTTTCTCGGTAATTTTACTGGACCTTGGTAAAAACGCCAATATTTTTTATCGACTGCGGTAGAATTACCGAGATAAAATGGCAAAGTTACCGGGAATTGATTACCAATGAAAGTGGTACTCTTACCTGAAAAAAACAGTAAAAATACCGGTTTTTAGGTAAGCTTACCAGTCTGTCTTGGTAGAATACCAATAATTGGTAAAAAAAGTGAGATGGTAAAGGTACCAACGGACCTTGGTAAAAACGCCGAGAATTTTTTTTCAGTGCACGAACTTTGGGGATATTTGTGCATATGTTTCCTCAAATTTTTCAGATAATTTTGTTCGCGATTTCAACTAAAGCTCCTGAAAATTTCAGGGACAAATATTCATACCTTTCCTCGATAATAAACATTTTATCGGAAGACATTTGGCAACTCTCAAATTTTCATACGGCGTTTTTCCTCAGCACGGCAGCAATCGTCGTCGTCGCACGCGAATGGGGGGGGGGGCGTTGAGTGTTTAATCAAAATCAATGCTTTTTGATCGGGAAGATCTTCCATAGGAATGCCGATAAGAAAAAACATGATCCTGCCTCTCTCAACTGTCAAGTGTTCCAAAACGACGGCAGTGCATTGAATATCGCTGGAGGAGAACTGACCAGAATAATGCAAGTTTTTTAAGGATATTTTACAAAAACAAAATGCGACGCCTCCTTTGTATACACCAAGTAACAAGAGGAAGATGGAAGAATCATCATCAATTCTTTTCCCAGCATGTGGGTTTGATGCATTTGGATCGCATTTATTAAAAGGAACCAGTGCAATGGAGATGTTGCATGTGTGAGGAATTTGCGATTTGACTGTTGATTCTCACGTAAAAGTTTGCGAAAAACACGATGGTGCCACTGGTTTTCTCTGAAATCATCTCCTAAGCTCAAAAAAAGCTCTCAAAGTGAGGCCAAAATGCAGGGGATATCCCACCCTACCCTGAGAGTCCACCTCTACATCAAGACAAACTGTCCATGCAAAAATAAGGAGCAAATACATTAGCAGGGTTGCCGTGTTTTCAGTTTTGGAGTCCCCAAATAAAGTGGCAGCCCTGTCAGTGTATCTGCTCCCTATCTTTGCATGGAGAGTTTGTCTTGATGTAGAGGTGGACTCTCAGGATAGCGTGGGATATCCTCTCCATTTTGGCCTCAACTTGAGAGCTTTTTTTGAGCTTGGGAGTTGATTTCAGAGAAAACCAGTGGGACCATCGTGTTTCTCGCGAACTTTTACGTAAGAATCAACAGTCAAATAACAAATAGTTTTTGCCTTCCAACAAAAAATGGTTAATTTTAAAGAGAAATAATTGTGTAAATTTAAATAATATACATATTTTGAGTATTTTTAAAAGAAAAGAAGAGGTCGCACGATTTTGGAAACGCTGTAATCGCGCAGGGCCGGATTAAGGGGGTGGCCACATGGGCCGCGGCCCATGGCGGCAAATCTAAGGGGCGGAAAAAATTTGCAATTTTTTAAAGTGTAGGTATAAAAAAAAATTGGATTTATAAAAACAAAATTAGAAACGAGAAAAGGCGACAAAATCTCTCATTTCCTGAGAGTATAGTAATTTCTAATTTTGTCATCTCTTGGTGATACAAGAGACAGGACCCTCAATAAGTCGAGTTACGAGAGAAACCAAACACGCAATTTGGCCAGGAACGGCGCGACTGAGAGAGAAATGATGACGAGGACTTGAGATGAAAAGGAGAAGCCCTCGGCGCGGCAATCGGCGTGTATCACATATTAGCGCCTACAAGACTGCACGAATACTTCACGTATTGCATCAAACACAGTGCGGTCATTGCGGTCAGCGTGAAACGGATAGCGCCTACAAGAACGCACGAATACTTCACGCATTGCGTCCAACACGGCGCGGTCTGCGCGGCGCGGTGGCGGAAGTTTAAATCATTGATCCACGTGTATGTTTGTTCTTTCATGATTGTTTCGTTCATTTCTTATGAATGGAAGGCCTTGTACACACAGAGATAGGTTTACGGAACTTAACTTTCGCGCAAAGTTCCGTGAACTTTTGCTAGTAGTGTTGACAGGGCTTTCCCAAAAAATATGTTCAACACGAGTAAATGCGTCTTATGCACCCCTCCCCCGCTGGCACGTTCATTTGATGGTTTTTTTCAGGTTTCAAAACGAATGAGAAGGGGGCGGCAAAATACAGGCGGCCCATGGGCGGCAAGTAGGTGGATCCGGCCCTGTAATCGCGGTGGTTCCTTTTTTGCTGAATGCGATCCATTTAATTCTGCACAGACTACAGAGATGAAATCAGTTTTCAACTTATTAGCGAACATTAGAATCTGACGAGACACTGAATTTCCTCATTTTCAAATTCCCTGACTTTTCCCAGACTCAAAAGTTTTCAAATCTCATGACTCCTCTCTGACCCACGATCAAGACCTTCACTTGGATTTTTCTTATGTTTGAATTGTGCTGACTTTTGATAAACTATGGATAACATCTCCACTTCAAGAGATTCGGAGAGAGGAAAAATGCGCTTTTGTTCATTTTTTCGCGAACTATCGAATATCACTTAGTGACGAGGCGTGAATAATCGATTATCAATATCTCTCCATTTCAGGCTATGGTAAAGAATCGATTATTACGGTGCTCGATGCAAATACGTTGCCTATTGATCCTTTTCCATAGGTTTAAATGACAGATTAATCGATGTATCGCAAAAATTGCTCCAGCTGAAGTTGCTGGTTTGGCGCGCGCTACTCGCGAAATTTCCAGTCTTTTTCAACGAAGTCCCTGACTTTTTGGTTTGCCGGAAACCCTGTCTAACCTTTTAATGATGACCTTTTCGAAGATCAAAGAAGGATGATCAGTGTATAGATCACAATCATATCTAAGTTTGAATTTCCAATCAAATGTTTCCGAAGCGAGTTTTTCTAAAACCTGAAGTGAACATTTCTTAATTATTTATCTTAATATTTTGATACCTAACTGTAGAATAACATATTCGACGTTTATTTTTCTAGTTAACGCAAAGAAACTAATTTTTGGTGAGATTATACTTTGCTAATCTCGTACCCAATTGGTGCGACGCTTTGATTAATCAAAGTGAAATTCATGTCGCAAATATTTTACTTTTTGCTGATATATTTTTTAAAGAATAATTCAAACAACGTTCATAAACGGTTTAAGATCGGTAAAATTTTGATGTAAATCAGAATAAATGTGAGATTTTGCGATGTGCAGGTTTTAAATTTCCGCGCTCAAGAGACAATGAGCGTATATTCAGCACTGCCAACGTGAGACTTCGATGATAGTCTAATGGTGAAAAATTATCTATTACTATTATAACATAGACCATATTTTGCTGTAATTTTTGAGCTCATTGAAGTTTTTTCCCTTCGATTTTATGAAAAAACTACCACAAGTCGAATTTTCCGATCATCGGTTGGAAATTAGTATGCTTGTCAACTAGTACTCGCCTGTATTTAAGTTGGTAATTTGAAAATAAATACAGTGTTGTCTGCTCTCAGCTCTCAATGTTCTCATCACACCAGCTCTTGAAATAATAATGAAATTCTCTTCAACTATTTCTGTACATCTGTTAGAACGATTACGGCTTTGTAGCTTTGAACCTATGTAAAAACAAACTTTCTGGATTGTATGTCGCGTTGTTTTTGTTATTTTGACTCTCACTACAAAAATGATGTGAAACTCAAATAGGTCAGGCAGATGAAGGGTCAGGATCAAAGGCAATTTGATGGAATGCATGATGGTCCATTTCTGTGCTTAAGGAGCCAACGCGTTTTTTTTTTAAAGCTGTCTTTGCAGTTACGTATTCGTTCTGTTTAAAATGTATACGTGTGTTGTGGTGTAGTAAGGACTGGTATATAGACTACATTATGGGGCGTGAGGCGAATAAAGAACAAAAATACGGAGATTTGACAACGTGACTCTCAAATGACGTAATGAAAATAACCCTGTTTGTCTTTCATCAACTGTGTGGTCTGTGTGGTACTGATGGGCAATTGAACGAAGTGAATAAGTAAAGTAACCTTTACCTTCACATTTTCGTTTTTTCGGGGCTGGTGAAGTTTAATTTTCCTGCTCCAGAATGTCGGCCGAAGCATCCTTTCCTCCGATGCGGGAGTACAAACCTCCAGTCAGCGTTTCACCATTGATCAAAGTAAGTTCCTTTAGCCTTCGTAATTTTTATAGTTCCTGACCGAGGGCTGATTCGCTTAACGTCCTCAATCGACCTCTTCATCTTATCACTCCACTTCTCCACTCTACTTTTATCGTTAACCCTTAGGTCCCATACTTTCTTAATTAACACGAACTTTGTCACTCTGGCTTATTTACGTCGGATTGCGATGTATCATAGCTTTTCACAAATATTTTCTCAGCCTACAGATTAGTTACATGATCCGCACGACTTTTGCTCTATAACATTCTTCGAAATATCTAAGCGCTTCGTACCCAGGCCCCTGCCTTTTCAGTTCGGTACTCAGGGTTGAACACCTCTGGTATCCTATTCTTCTCGAGTGATACAGCACAGTCAGTGTTGACCTATTTTCCTCCTTTCATTGTTGTGACGACAACTGCACCGTTAATGTTACGTTGTATCGTTGAATCCCACTACAGTAGGAAAGGGTCTGATAACTTGATCCATTACTTACATCTTTGTTTATTGTGGCGTAATAGTTACTCTTTTTCCGTAAGTGTCTTAAGGCAGAAGACGCGACTTTGCACCAGTCACAGCTCAAAACTCTGATTTGTTTTCACTCTAAGAAGTAGATCTGAGCACATATGTGAGAAAGATTATGAGTGGTTTGTGTTTAGTGAAATAGAACATCTTGCAATGGTGTTAAGGTTGTGTATCTGTTTTTCCTGCTAGAGGAAGCTTGGAAAAGCAGTTGTTATTCTTGTTATCAAGTACCTACTTACATGTGGACAGTGTAACCGCACCAATGAAAGCCCGCCACTAGGGAGGGAGTACTGGGTTACTGGCACCGGTCCTGAAGGGGCCCGTGCCGCCGGTGGAAAACCACTACGAATTCACGTTAACCCTTGTCTCGTGAGGAAAAGTGATAAATTTACCCTGAACATTTTGCAATAGGTGAATAAATTTTCAAAAACGCGCTGGGATCCTGTAGAATTCTTCTTACTTCTTTGAAGATTTCTATCTATTTTCAAGATTTTTAGTTTAGAATGATATTTTTAGTAACTGCATTTCATTTTCTTCTGTCGTTGGATGCTAAGAGTCTCCAGTCTGGGCATCCTAGAATTCAATGGCTCATTTCCCTTGCCGTAGACGCTATTAGTGCAACATCACAGAAAAGCGATATATATATCGATTTTTTCGCACTGGTAGCATTGAAAGAGGTTATGCCAATGTTATTGTTTAGATCCAATTCGATATAATGGAGAATCTCTATGATGACGTTGCCACTAATAGCGTCTATAGACGTACGAGACAGGAGTCCAGGGGACCTGGCCCCCCCAGAATTTAAAATAGTAGCATCCCCCCCCCCTCCCAAAAAAAAAAAAAAAAAAAAAAAAAAATCCAGATGCTCTGAATGCATCAATTCGAAAGTATTTTGTGCTGAAAGTAAAAAAAAAGGCATAATTATTCTGCAGAAATAGATGGAAAATCTCCGTCATGGGAGCTTCAAAATGCGTCCGAACAGATTTAAAATTTCATAAATTCTCTGAGGGAGTCCCCTAGAACTCCCCTCTGTGCTGGGGGCCCGGGGGCCTTAAAACTGGTACCAGGGCCCGAGATGAGATGTGGTGGGCCTGCACCAATGCATATCTCGGTTTCAGTGCCTCAAAATCTCCACTCCTATTCAATTTCTTCAAAGACATAATCAAAATCATGGCTTGAAATTTTTACAGAATAGAATATTCCTCTGATAGAAAAGTAAAGTCTCTGAAGTTTTCAAGAAATGGTGGCGAGTAGTTTTCGATGTAGGGAATGAAGCATGACAGGAAGTCTGCAACTCTGCAAACCAAAATACTTACAAGTTTCTTCAGCTTAACCATTGATGTTAAAAACATGATTAAAAAATGAGAGTCTTCGAAGTTTCATTTGTATACTCTCAATTTTTTGACAGTGAAGAGAACTTTTCCAGATTCAGAAACATTAGAATGCTTTGGAAAATTTTCTTTCAAACTCAGCTGTAAAACTCTTGATTTGACGCTTTCTTGCCTAAATGAGGTCTGTATAATACATGTCTTAACTTTTTCCAGTTCAGCCGATGGAGCGCCCTGATTTTGGGAGTGGTCTACGGTGCTACTCGACACAGCTACCTTCAAAGGAAAGAAGACAACATGCGAGAAACTGTGGAAAGGGAAAGAGCCCTCAGGAAGGCATTGCGCGAAGAGGAGAAGAAACTTAAACTAAAGAGTAAGCTTTACGGATTCGACTTTGCCATGGTTAATCTGTTGATACTGTCTTGAATTTTCCATCCATGTTCCTAAGCGGCTATTGCAGCATATTTTATAATTCAATATATCGAGTGTGGAACTACCAGACCACGTATCTCGTTTGCAGTGTTTTAAAGTCTCCCCTCCCATTTTATTTTTTTGAAGAACAAATCACTATCATCTCTTGAAATTTTTCGATTTTTCTTTACATAGAGGAAAAATAACATGGAAGTTTTCAAGAATTGACCATGAGTCGTTTTCCGTTCTATTTAAAAAATGAAGGATTACAGGACATCTGCAACGTCGCAAACTGAAATGTGTGGTCTGGTAGTTTCACCATATATAGTTTCGATATTCATTAACAATAATGAGAATAATTTCATGCATAATTCTACATATTAATTCAATTTATTCTGTTATATATTCTATTCCCATTTACACCATTGTAGGAACATTGCATTGTGTGTTTTAGAGAAGCACTTTAAAAACACAGTTCTATCACTTTTTTTGAACAGCAGTGTAATTTAGCTCACATCGATTAGTTAAAGTGGCAGAATGGCATCTCAAATTGTGTTGTTGCAAGTCTCTGCCCATGTTGTATTTTCTAAAAAAAACCGACAAACATTTTCGCATAAAATTTTGTAGAAGTAAGTATGGTCAAGAATAATAAAATCGTAGGTAACCACTTTTGTTTGGTGATCTTGGTCAGATTCCTTCCTAAAATTAAAATGATGAAACTTCGAATGAGATTTTGAATCACTTGTAGGTATATGTGACTTTTTGGCTTAACTCCTCCCGATTTTGGATCAATAGCTGCCAATGTTGCCAAATTGGTTATATCACTGTCACTGTGAAACTTGTCAGTTCTGTTCTGCTGTGCCAAGAAAAAACGCCGTATGAACCCTCAGGCGTTGCCAAGTTTCCTCTGGCAAATCACTAATTTTCAGGAAAATTTTTGAATATTTTTCTGCCTATTTCTCAGATAATTTTGTTTGTAATTTGATCTTAAGTGTCGGAAAATTTCAAAGAAAAATATTCAATTCACGATTTTCCTCCAAAATAAACATTTTATCGGAGGAAATTTGGCAACTCTTGAATGTACGTATGGCATTCTTCCTTAGCTTGGCAGTGATTGTCTCCTAAAAATGTTGAAGGTATATCAATACCTTCAAAAAAAGAAATTCTATTTGTCGTGTGATAATACAGTACTCTTTCCCTATGGTGCACAAATATTGCCAAAAACACTGCTACAATCTAACGCAAACAACTGTGAAAGCAGAATTGCCACAATACTACTGTTATACTGCCACAATAATACGTTGTATGAGCCCTCAGATGTTGCCATATCTCCCTGAAGATAAAACAATTTTACCGGGAAAATTGTGAATATTTTCATTCAACCGTTTCAGACAATATTATCCACGACTCAAGCGTTAAAATCTAATCATTTCAAGGAAAAATTTGCTGAATTTCCTATAACATTATTTTCTACTCAGGAAAATTAGTTGCAATCCCACCTTCAATATTTCCTTACTCCGATTGCTTGCTCCGCTCAATTATGTTCAACAATTTTTAATGAAATATCCTCTTAGTTTTAATATTTTTCAAATGTTCATGTTCTTTTCTTCTTCTTTTTTTTCCAGACGAATTGGCCGATCTTGCTAAGCAAGTTGGTATGGAGAAAATATAAACATTCTTCCCTCCTTCTTGGGCGTTTTAAGTTGTAAGTTTAGTGATTTTTATTTTTAAGTAATCTTCTAATGAATCCTTTAATTTTGAGTTCATTTGCACTCCTACCTGTTAAACCATTTCTCTGTAAAATATCCTTTTGTTATTAAAAATAATAAAACAGTAACTAAAATAGATTTGACTGTGTCATTCACTAGCTACCATTCCTTTTGGACCCCGCATTTTTTTGGCTCTTTTACACCAAGATGTAACATCTGTCAATGAGTCCAAATCGCACCACCGGCAAATCAGAGGTAATAGAGAAAACTTAGGTGCAGTGGTGATTCATTTAGGTATCTACCTGTTGTTCTAGAGCACCAGTCCACTATTTTTTTCTCGGAAACGGCCGAGAGTTGAGCTTCGAGAAGCAATATATCTGGGGTAAATCAACCCCAAAGAATTCAATGAAAATATTTTCAGCCCCCCAAAACCCCATGGGGGGTGTTTAAGGGGGGTGTCCTCTGTTTCTCGCACATTTTAAATTGTAACGGTATGTTTTGACATCGTATTTAAATTCTTTTGCCAAAAATAAACGCTGATGAAAGAACTGACAAAATCCTGAAACATCTTTTCAGAAGGAAAGGGTCTTATTCTGATCTATAGAACTTGTTCCTGAAGTATGGTTGTTTAATTCTGGGACACCCTGTATAGAACAGGAAAACGAAAATAGGAACACAACAAAATAAAAAAGGAACGTACTGAACAAGGCTACGAACAGGGCTGAAGTATTAAAATATTCTATAAATGGGACACTTCGAGTTGTTACCGGCTTATTTTTAGCTGCAAAAACTATCAGAACTATTAAAAAAAACTTAGTGACTGCCTGATCCCAGTTGTTAAAGCAACCACTAGGTTTTGGTAGGTGATAACAAATAAGATCCGTTTGCCTCTCAATTTTTCATTAATTTTGATTGTTTTTGTAGCTGAAAATAAGCCTGTGCCATCTCCAAACATCCTGCCTTTTAAATGCTTTAATATTTTGACGTATTTCTATCAAACGAAACTATGTGCGTTATGACGTGAGCCCTGGTATGCATGTATTCTTATGGGTCTCAGGGCTCATGTCATAATGCACATAGTTCCGTTAGATAGAAATTCGTCCATTTTAGCCCTCTTTGAGTCCTTTTTTCATTATTTATTCTGTTGAGTTCATATTTTTGGGCTATGTAATTAGTACACTTTGCAAAGAATAGGTCGATAGATGATCCGTCTATGTTTTTATTATTTAGAATCAAAATAAAAGGGTGTAATTGACTTAACTTACAATTAAATTATCTCAGAAATCAATAAAATACTTTTCAATAATAATAAAAACAATTGAGGAAAAAAACATGATACAAAAATTACAAACTTTAAAATTACCACTACTTTTTTACGGAGTTCTCAAGGGTTCAAGATGACAGAGGCAAACAGCAGACAGAGAGACCATCTCTTGAGATTTATTTTAGACCAGGAATCTGTCAGTCTTTTTGATTGGTCTTTTTTTGATCAGTATTTACTATTTAGTCAGCCTCTTAAAATTTGCATCAGGAGTTGTAGATGCTCAGAGAGATAACTTGTTGAAATTTTTACAAACCAGATTATTATTCAGAATTAGAGGACACAACATGAAAAAAAGGACTCATATCTTTAAGTGAAGGAAAGAAATACATAACTCACTTGTTAGGATTGTTCAGATAATAGACTTTGCTCATGTTTATGACAAAGAGCTTGTTAAAAAAGGGCCTTCTTTTGCTCCTTTTTGGGGAGGAAAAATTATGGATTTTGTTCAGATGTGATCTGAATAAAACCTCTTGCAAAACTCATTCTTCAAGGAAAGTTATAACTTGAGTTTAAATCTCATTTTGGCAGTACAGCGCTGCAAAGCTAACATTTTTACCATTGAAAAAGGCTAATATTTTGACGTTTATCAGTTTAGCAAAGAACTGAAGTTGATCCCTTCTTACTTTCTGAGGCACGGTAACATCAACTAATTATACTTGGCCCTATGAAATGAAATGGGATCAACTGGAGTTCTTTTTTCAACCCATGAACATCCAAAAATTGGCATTTTCTGACGGCAAACTTTGCGATGCTGTCACGCTAAAAGAAGTTTTTAAATCAAACTAAAACTTGTCAGTGTAGGATTTTCTCAACGTAAGGTTTCATTTAGGCCACATTTGAACAAAATCGCCAATCTTCGCCTGTAAGAGGCACTTTTTTAAGAGGCTACCTATATATTGAAATTTTTTGTGGATAATTATTTGCCTGCTGGTAGTATACATACGTCTATTTCAAAGACCCTTATGAGATACTTAAAACTTAGGAGTGCGTCTTTCTCTTAAGTGAAGACCAAAAAATCACCTGTCTGCTGAACTTAGATTCATATACAAGACTGTATTATAGTAATCACAGCAAATCTCTAACAACATTGGCTATTTGAAAAAATTATAAAACTCGCTATTTTCAAAGAGGAAAACTCTTAAAAAAACCATCAAAATACCCAAGTTAGGAACAACTTTCTATTATTTTTTACATGAAAATGACACCTTGCTTTATAGGTTGTTTATCACTTTGTCTTCGTAGACTGAGACGTACATTTAACAGAAAATTTTAATTTTATTTGTTACACAGTTTTCTGTTCATTTTTCATTTTGCGTCAATATGAGTGATTTTTCAATTGAACCAAGTTTTGATGCTAATTTTTTTCACACCTATTTTTTAAAATTTTTCTTTAAATGAAAATGTCTCCTAAATTTTAATTTGACAAGGGTTTCCTGACTTGTGCATTTGAACAACTTCTCAAGTCCGAATTTCGTTGTTTCAATATTTCAAAGATGAAGGATTGTAAAATTCAACATTGCTAACCAAATTTCTTTACTAGTATTCATATTTTTACTGGAAACAAGTAGTATGTCTTTTATTAAAAAATTCTTAGATTTTGCCATGGATCTTTGTAAAAGTCATCGAAAATTTGAACAGAAATTGCCTTGTCATTATTGTGTGAGAACGAGAATTGGGTAGGTAGATTTTACAACCTTTAAATGAAGATACGTTCCTTAGTCTTGAAAATAACGATTTTACAGACAATGCTACCAGGAAAACGATCAAACAAGAATAGATGAAAATTTGGACGTATTTATGCTAAAAGGAACTATGTGCATAGGGCTTGCATGAGACAAAGCTCTTTTTAGCATATATACGTCCATTTCATCCTAGTGGTAAGTGTCTCTTGCAGAAATAAGCAATTAGAAAATTAATAGTAAAGAACTGGAAGGTTAATGTAAAACTTTTTCTTACCGATTTTCTTAATTGGTTATTTAGAGTAAGAGAAGATCAGTAAGAATAAGTTAAATATCAACCTAATAATATGACTGATAAAATGAATCAGCTGAGTGAAGGACTTGAAGTCAAAAGAAAGCGTTTTTTCAAAAAGAAAAAAAAAAATAAATCGAAGAATTAAAAAAAGTTTTACACAAATTTCAAGTTGCTTTGGTCCAAATGCAAGTTAAAAAGCTACTTCAGCAGTACTCAGTCAAAAGTACTTCAGCATACTTTACCCAGGCTCTGATGATAAATTCTCAGGGTAAAATTTAGACTGAAGTATTCACGTTTTGAAGATTTTTACCGAGGGATAGAAGTATGTATCTTCTAGAAATTAAGTAGCATGGATTTTGATGGATATTTTTCATTTCTGTTTCTGTCATGAGAAAATTTGTTTGTCCATAATCAAGAATGGTCGCTTCAAAAGGGTTGAAATTCATATGAAAGCATTGTATCTCATATTCTACAAATAAAACTAATCAACATTATTCCTTGACATTTGCCACAAGTTTTCTCCTCTGTGAACTACAATGAAGTATATTATTTGAACATATTGAGCAACAAAGTGGGTAACAAAAAAATAACATAGAATAGAAGCAGAAATTTTTAAGTGCCGCACTTGAGAGGCATTTCTTCAGAGATCGGCCGGCTGCATTTTAATCATATGAATCTTATGTGACTTGATTCGCTGAGTATCAAACGGTGAGCCATTCTGTTGGTTATAGGTGTAAATTTTGACTAACTGAAGTAAAGGAGCATTGTAAGTATTTAAGATAATTCCAGTGAAATTCACTTGTAGTACTTTGAAAGGACAGGAAATGAGTCAACAACAAGAACAAAACGACAGGATATCTACTCATCTATGAGAACTTTAAGTAGTTAGGTAACATCACATTAAAAAATACAAGATTATGAGTAACAGACAACCCAAAAAAAAATATTTTAAGAGAAGAATATTGAAATGTGAATTCGTGTGAGTCCTGAATGGGACATTTTTTATTGGTTGGGAGCATTAAGAAAAATTTAAGGTAGCTGAACAAAATTTGTCAGGATTGAACAAACTGGGACTTTCACGAGTTTTAATAAGAAGCATACAAACTAGAGGAACTAAAAGCTGAATGAATTTGCAGTTCATAACAGTAACATGGATTGCATTTTGCAAATAGGAACCACTAGCATTGCAATGATGCTAAGATTGTGCAACTTCATCTTTTCTTTGCAATAAAATTGCGGAAATCGTGAAAAACTATGAAATTTATATGGTAATTTTTGTCTTAAATTTACAGTTTTTAGCGAGTAAAATAGAAACTATTAATGGATAATCCGGTTTTTCCTCCAAGACAAAAGAAGTTGCACAATCTTAGCAACATTGCAATGCTAGTGGTTCCTTTTTGCAAAATGCAATCCACATGAACGTACTTACATTACATGAGTTTCAATAAAAAAATTTCAGACTCCCTCGTGGGTTTTTAAGAAACAGTCAGTGCACAGATTAATTTTATTTTGCTTGTAAATTAACAACTGGCAAGTTATAAATGTTATTGGTTCTTATCATCTTGCTGTGCTGCGGAAAAACGCTCCTTGAACATTCGAGAGTTGCCAAATTTCCTTGAATTAAATGATTACTTTTGAGGAGAGTTACTAATTTTTTCACTTGAAGTTTTCAGATAATTTAGACCTGATTTCGAGTGAAATTCTCTAAAAAATTGAAGGAAAAACATTCACAGGTTTCCCAGAGAATTTATGTTTAATCAAAGAAAAGTCGGCAACGTTCCAAGGCTCTCACGGCGATCTTCCTTGGTACAGTAGTATGAATAAGAACTCGAAACAACATTTCAGTTGGTTACAGATAGGGTCATGAGATATTTTGTTTAAAAAATATGATAAAAATTCTGTAAATAAAAATCCCTATTGGAAAATATAAGCAGCACTTACGCTGCCAAATGGAGTATGAATTTTGAACAAAATTTCCCAAGACATGAACTCCACATCGTTTGAAATGAAGAAAGTGCGACTAAGAATTTAAATTTGAAGTTGCTGGTCAATATACACGAGGGAAGAAGTTTGTCTTTAAAAATTTCACGTAATAACATGGTAACGGAATAGAATTGAGTTCAATATCAGGGTGAGTCTTTTCTTTTCTGACAAAAGCCATTTTTATTGCAGTCTGCAGTGTATTTAGAATTAATACATTCAGCACTGCACAATAGAGAGACAATTTCCGACTAAAGGAACGTTTTGTAAGTTAAATTTTTGTCATCTTCGCTCAGGATTGAGTCTCACGCAGAAAAAGACGAAAAACCAAAGACAACCTTTTGAATTCTAAGTAAAGCTAAGTACTGTAAAAAAAAGTCCGAAGAACACAAACACAGCCTCACAATAAATTTTCATAACAGGACTAGAATCAATCTCTTTGAAAACATGTATTTTTCAGGGGAAAGTTGGAGGTCTTGAAGCCGAATGCTTAAGACGAAGGGACCCTAATCAGAGGTTCCTACTGCTGTCAAAAGATATACTCTGGCCGGATTTGAGCAGATTTGGATACAAAGGCTAGAGCCTCAAAGTTGTATTATTCTTTTAACTGCGGAAGAAGGAATAGGAAGAAAGTTTATGGAAGGTCAAAAAGACTGCTATGAGCTACTGACTTCCTAGGCAAAAACGCTGTAACTCCGTTTTGCATCATTCAAATATTTGCCTCCTTTTGGAGGTGATCAGCAAAGCATTGAGTTGGAGGATGGCCAGCAGATCAGCTGCGCGGATTATAAATACTTGGGAGTGCGGTTGACCTAGGATGGAAGGACGGATCAAGCTAACAAGGAAAGAAACACCTTAGCAAGGAAGGCTATAGCGATGTTAAATGGAATCCTCTGGGATCAGCAGCTTTCTCAAGATAACAAGAGGAGGATATACAATGCTGTGGTTTAAAATACATTAACATACGGATGTGAAGTTTGGCAGCTGAAGAAACGTACACAGGATATGTTAAGAGTAACGGAGATGGATTTCTGGAGGAGGTCGGCAGGAATTTCTAGGAGAGATCAGGTCTGTAATGAGAGAGTGCGTCATATCATGGAAGTCAAAAATGACATCATGTATGACGTCATGACTGAACAGCTTATCTGGTACAGTCATGTTAGTAGGATGACAGAAAAGAGGCTGCCGAAGAAGATGCTTGATTGAATACCTCCTGGAAGGAGACGAAGGGAACGCCCAGTGAGAGGGTGGCGACAGGAGGTTTTAAATAAGATAAGGGAGTGTCAACTCCCTGATGGATTGTGGGAAGACCGAGTTTTGTGGCGATTAGGCGTCGCAGAGTGCCAGAGAGCGCTATAAAAGCGACTCATGTATGTAATTATTTGCCGACAAAACGTTCTATTACGAAAGAGCCAGCGAACATTCATTCTTCATACTTGCAGAGTGATTATGATATACCATCAGAAATTCAAATAAGGAAAAATAATCATAATGGTGATTAGGTTTTTGTGTAGGAGAGCAGAGCATGTGTATTAAATTAATGCAACACCTGGGAAAGAGTTACAGTGTTTTTGCTTCGGACAGTAGAGCTGGTGTTTTCAGAGGCAAAATTATGTACCACCTTATCCAAACACTTGCTGTACAAATTGGTAACTAAACATACTTATCTACAAGGGAAAATTTAACAAGTGAATATACATGTGAGAGTAATTGATACTTTCTGACTGTTTACATACTCTAGGGCTAAATGGGGTGACTATTTTTTCGGTTGTTCCTGGTAAAAATTCAGCAGAAAGAAGGGCGGATAAAAAAAATCTTACAATGTATTGTCCCTTAAACTTAAAATCATGAATTTACATGGTTTGCATAAACTGTGCATAAAAAATTAGCTTTCTCAACTTCTCAATACCATTAAAGTATGCACTTGATGTGAGGAGAACTTATTTTTAACATTTTGACATTAGAATCGCTAGATTCCATTAAATGCTTATAGTATTTACATAACTTTAAAAAAATGAGAGATACAGAAAAGTTATTAAAGTCTGTAATTTTCTTTGCACAGGAGGCAAAAATCATATCTGAGGGAGAAAAAATTACTACAGTTCAAGAATAGCCAAATCCAAAAAAGAATCCTATATGCAGTGTTCTCCTCCTTTTAAAACATACAGCCATTCTTCATCTTACAACTATTTCAGAGTCAGCGTAAGGAAAGATAATAATAATAAAAAAAAATCTCATGGCTTGGATTTTTTCTTATTATAGGTTGAGGAGTTCACCTTGGTAATTTGATTCCTGATAGCTTAATGCATCACACGAACATCACCGTCCAAGGAGGCCGTTGAAGAGGGAATAAATGCTACTTACTTAAATTTACCACAAGAAAGAATAAAAAACAAAATTTACAGGAGCAATTCTTAAATACAATAAACAAAATAAAAGAAAAACGGACTTATCACAGAAATTTTTCAAGAAACATTAGCTGCGTCACACGCACTTTGTCTGTTAGAATGTCTTGTTCTGGCTGAACTCATGTTCGAACAAATGTTCTTGAACGTCCTAAGGCAGAAGGGATCTATTTACAAAGGGAATTTTAAAAAATAGCCCACTGTGATACTTCATGGTTTTCCAAAACTCCCGTTGTAACTACAATCCTTACACCTGGAGATGTCCAATTTTGATGAGTGGCACCCAAATAATTTTTTCGTACATATCAATTGTACTTTCTTTCTCTTCAAATCATGGAAGTCTGGTGGCCTTTGTTCAAAAATTATACTATTTGGGCCTTGAGTTAATCGCGAAAAAGGGAAGATCTGATGAGATTCTTACAAATGTAGAAATACAAATTCATCACAAGGTGGATTTTTTGCAGAAAACATAAGGGTCAGTTTACAGTAATTTAAATACTGTTTTAGCAATATGTGCTTAAAATTGATAGGTTTCTCCTAGTTGTTGAATAAATGAAAAAAAATTCAGGATCCTTTCTTACGTTATTACTTTTATAACGTTTCATCTTCCCTTCTAAATTCTGACTCTTTTTCAAAATTTAAAGTCGAGAAGCATTTTAAAATTTGCCACCTTGTACATGAATACACTTGCAAATGGAGGTAACAGGTTGGAAAAGTCGGTCATTCATTCTTACACACTACTCTCACCCTTATTAAATCGCAGAGCATAGCTGTATTCCGAATGACCTGCAGCAGCACCGTTTTGCCCACTACCCTTATTATCCCCGATTAAATTGACTAAAGTTTGTTCATTATTGTTCCATGTGTCTGAGCCACGAGCGCTTTTAGTTATCACATTTTCCGCAGGAGTTTTCACTATCACATTATCCCCTGTGGAAGAAGGAGCCCGCGAGTGGGACCAATCAGAGTCTGACGTTAGGTCGCACGTTGCAGAGTTATCGCATAGATTTCGCCTCAGTGAGTAGTCACTTGGTAGCTCCGAACAGGTTTTATACGAAGAATTGAAAACTGAGGCGTATTCTTCGTCCAGAGGGAGCGTCTTCAGATCTTCAGGGCACTCTTCGAACTGACAGTCTGTGAACGTAGAGGTAACTGAGCTATCTTCCTGATGGTGGAGCGTTGGAGACTCCGAGGACGAATGTGTGACTGGCTCCATACTCCGGGTCTCGCTCTCCAAGCTGAAGTAAACATCATTTCCTGTTCCACTGGAGTGAACAGAGGCTGTTGGTTTCGTGAATGGCGAGTTCATTTTACTGCTATTGGGTGACATTTCATAGAAACAATCTGAAGATGATGTGTCTTCTTTACGACTTAAGAACTCGGCAATTTTGGGGTTATGGAGGATGTTCAGGAGCGGCGAACTTTCGTAGGTGAAATTTTCTATCAAATCTTCATCACCACCCGCAGGCTCTTTTTTTTCAGTGAGGCTTTCTGCAAAAAACTTTTCAAACTCAGCAGTAGTTGGAACATTATCATTACTTGATTTGCAATCGTCAAGTCGAGCCATAACGTAGGTCTCTCCACGCGAACCGATACTCGACACTTCTGAAAGAGACTCAGCCTTAGCCAGAGGTGCTAGGCCATACCAATCGTCATGAATGAGGTCAATTTTGCTTTTGGAGCGAGAAGCAGATGCTTCGTAGGATGGGGGCAGCTCATTGGAGCTGAAATCCCACGCAACACCATTTGAAAATTTGAGTGAGTCTTTGAGCGAGTCCCGCTTCGCCTGGACTGAGGCGAAACTCGTTTCTAGGCAGAGTTTGGTCGGAGGAGGGGTAGAGTTTGGACTTGTCTTGAGCTTCTCCCGAAGGTTGATCACAGCACTAATATTGGTTGCAGAGCGTTGAGGCTTTGCTGGTCCCATACTGGTTATTACCTGTGGAACAAATATAGTAGGTTTTAGAAGTTTGAAGACAAAAACATAAGTTCAGGGTTTTTGTGGCTAAAAATCAATTCCTAGGTTGTAGCATCAAATAACATAGGGATATTCAACTACCAAATTTTGTAGCTTGAACTTCTATGAGGTCATTTTTTATGTTAAATCCGCATCTTTAACATCCGAGGAATATTGAACATTTTGAAGGAAAATTATAGGTGTTGGCTCCTCGCTGTAAATTACGCTACTGTCAGTATTTTGGACGAAAATTTCGTGTTTTATTGGTCATTCAATGTGACGAATCAAGAGTGTTCAGTTGTATTTTATTCATGATCCAATTTTTTGAAATGGGCTTTAGCTCTAAAACTAAAAAACAAATCTCCCTCAACAAGTGTGTGCATTAATTCCAAGATGGTAAAAATGGACCTCTATACAGGTTACGAAATTAGGGACCACAATATATGTGTTCCTCATCAAAATTTTACATAGATTATAACGAATTCATTAAAAATTTCCAAATTCAACTCATGAGTGGGCAAATTCTGGTTCTTGCAAGCGTTAATATTCACTAATGAGTTAATTTTGGACAATTTGTTGAGTCCATCATGTTCTAAGTAAAATTTTGTTGAGGTTTGTGTGTGCTACAGCGCTCAATTTCTTAATTTACTTGTTGGTCCATTAACCTTAAAAGTTTTAATCCACTAGAAGGGAACTATGATAGATACAATAGAGGCTTAAGCAAGGTGATGAGTGGTAACTGGTAAAGTTTAAAATGATATGACAGAAAGGTAAAGAAGAGAGGACAGGGGCCAAGTTGTTTTCCAGATGTATATGCGAAAAAGCAAAACCTTCAAGCAATTCATTATCCCTAAGTGCCCATAGGAACAACTAAATTCAATTCTGAAACTTGCTGCCAAGCACCCATTAAAACACCTTGGTTATCCTTTTTTGATGACGGAATTAATAAAAAATCATAAGGCCATGCAGAGTGATCTCATTATATGAAGCCCAATTCATACAATGATACGTTTTTGACTGGTTCATGATTCAAAAACATACAGTGTGCGGTAAAAAAATACATAGTAGTTATTTGTCCCATAACCATCCAGTTTTTCCCCTTTCATTTAACATGTCAAAAATTGAATTAATTTACCAATATTCAATAGCAAAATAGAAAACAGCGCCTCTTGCAAAATCAAGTTGTGGATAATTAATATTTAAACAAAGCTCTTAAGCATGCTAGAAACCGAGGAAAATTATTTACATCAGAAAATATTTATACATTGCTCTTTGCTTCCTTCTCTTGCTTGAACTTCATACAGAAGCGGGGAAAATTAAGAGTTGGTGAAAACGCTGAGTTTCGGCATCCAAAAATAACGAAAAGATTGTTCTTTGAAAATCATAATGGATGACATAATCCACCACAAACTAAAAGCTGGCATTGTTGTTGATACTGATCATGGAAACTTGGCATTTGGGTATTCATACCCCGTATTGCCTATCTGTTGAAACACAATTTTGAGCCTTGCACCAGTGACCCATTCAATCACGTATTCAAACTCTTCGAAAGTTTTCAAAATCTTGTTCCCCCTCTTTCATTGCTCAAAAAAAGTACAGGGCAATACAGGAATGCACACAAAGTTTGCCAATGAAAATCTGGTGGTTTTGAAATCCTTTCTATATAAATCGATGACTAAATGCGAAATAATGTGTACCTCAATGGCAATGTTCAACAATCTCCGATCATGTTTTACTTTTATCAGGTGAAATTATTCAAAACGCTTTCATGCGATTTTGTGATTGTTATCAGAATAAGTGAAGAAAATTCGCAAAAAATTCCGAAAGAAACTGCTGCTTGTTTTACTTACATTAAAATAATGAAACAACAGCAAAGATTTACTTTGCAATGTGAGATACGCATTCTTTGACTTCAGCCATCGAAACATTCTTATTAAGTAATTCTGAAATTACTCATTAAATATCAGAAATACATTGAAACCTGATGTAGACATTTTTCTGGAAACTCCTCTTGCAAGCATCAGCATTCAGAAGGAAACAGTTTCGATGCGTGAAAGAGCATAGAGAACGTAATACTTGTGGCCCATTTTGATTTTTAAAGACCACAAAATAGAGTGTAAAAAACCGATCAGGAAAAATGAATCTGCACAGTGTTAGAGGTCAAGCGAAAAGATTGAGATTAGAACGAGCTTTACCTGCCAGAACTTGTTTCGATACTTAAAGAGGTATTTGCAGATTGGTTAACAGAATTTGAGTGAGATAATAAGATCTGACAAGAGAAAAAAAATACATTATTTGAGAGTACTGAAAACCAACCCTAACACCGAAATTAGTTGTAATCCCTGAAGGGCCTTTACATTGCCTTGGGTAAAAAAGTACATATTCACACAAATTTTATACAAAAATTACTCAATTAACCATTTATGGGACAGGCTTATTTCTCATTTGTGATTCCTGTACTTTCAAGAATCTTAGTATCCGCGTTCATTTTAAAATTTAGAACACAGTATCCATCTTTTTGTATTCTAATCTTCATATTTTACTATCAAGCTTGTACATTGTTCCTTGGAAAAGTAGACAACTACATTAAAACCCTCCTGATACTTCAGAGAAACATTCAAGGGAGTAAAGATTCGGTTGAGATTAAAAATTATGGTAAAATAACAACTTAAGCCATGAATACGCTGCTAAGAAATATAAAACAACAAATACAACTGTTTTTTGCCGAGTGTTTGGCTGATTAAGTTCCTCTTCATCTTACAACATTATTATTTTCATAAATCACAGAGAGAGCATATTTGTGACAAAATTTGTATATAAACGGTTCACGTATTTATTTTGCTGTTAGGCCATGTCTCTTATTCTGGTTTATCGTCTTATTTCATAATATTTTGTAGTCTTTCTTACAACTTTTCAATTTTTCCCCTGAAAATTATTTTCAGCTTGGCTCACTGAGAACCCTCAGCAGTTCAAAATAAATTAGACAAATAATACAAGATAATGAATGAAAAATTCAAAGTTAATCATTAGGTCCTTCAACCGGGAGATTATTTCAGATAAGTTAAGGTTAGAGTTTTAAATAGGCAGGCAATCGGATGAATTTCACTTAAAATACCTGCGTAGCATTCATTGTACAAAAATTTGAACGTATTTATATTTCAAGGAAATCATTTTCTTGAACAGTAACTGCAAGCAGGAGAAAAATAAATCAATAGCCAAAGTACGAAACCTCTCATTTCCATAGCGATATTTCAGAATTTCCGCTCCTGTTTTTCTTTTTTCAGGAAGCTAGAATACTAACTGTATGGCTTTAAGTTAAGACAGAATACTCTGATAACAGAGACGAAAATTCAAAGAAGTTTTTAGAAAATTACACTGGCTAGTTTTCCAAAGAAAAAATTAAATATGATTAAAAGTCTGCAATGTCGCATAAAAAGGCACATGATTTCGAACTTTAGCCATCGAAATAACTCCTCTGACATTTACTGCTAGAGAATAAATCCTGATCTTTTCCACCACCTGGTCCCTTCTCATAATCAAGAAACACTCAACCAATCGAAAAGGAACAAAATCCTGTAAATTAATTAAATTTAGTCTCCAGTTTTATATCAGATTTAATCATATTTTATTGAGAGCAGCATTGAGAACTTAACTGAGAACACACTTTCACTGTCACAAAAAAAAAAAAAAAAAAAAAAAAAATATGACGCTGGCATAACACTAGCTGATACCCTGAGTCAATGAATAGTGGATGGTTAGAATTTCTCTGTCATAGCAGAGATCAGTGTTTTATGAATATTTTGGCTTACGTTGGATGAAAAACGTCAAACTAAATCGGAGTCATGACACTTTGAAGTTTGGAGCTCAAAATATCTAATCTTGGGAGAAAAGCATTTTCAGGTTTCAATCATCCATGTTTGGTCTGAAAATTGCTAGATTGAAATTTAACTTAAGCACCTCCGTCATTGAAAAAATAAAATGACTGCTGGAGACTTATTTTTATGGTTCCTACAGACTGTTTTTTTGTCAAAAGTTAAAATACTGACTAATTTGCTGACCAAACTCAGAAATACTGACATATTTTTGGAGCAAACTTAGAAACAGCTACACTTCTAAGGAGTATGTATCTGCGCTTCTTATGGTCTTTCCACTTATAAATGATCCCATACATTCTTCAAATAGTTTGATCGGTAAAATTAGATGATGAATCCTCAAAAAAATAAGAGAGCAAATAAATTCTGCAAACTATTAGACGTTACTTAAAAAGAGTCATAAGCTACCAAGGTTTTCATAATTTCTTTTACTATTTCCTATACCTTGACTTCCCCCTGACTCCAAAATTTCTAAATTCCTTGACCTTTAATCAAAACCTCCGTTTCGATGTTTCCTTTCAATTATGCTGAGTTTTATTTAAACCTCATAAAACAATTGTTTTCATTGATCTGTAGCCAACGACGATACATAGGAGTTTCTTGCGTTCTCTCGAACAGCACTGACTGAAGTTGCTGAGCCAACTAAGCACTACTCAAAAAATCCCCGGACTTCCCTCATGAATTCCCAGACTTTTCCTAACTTTACCAGGTAGCCGTGCATTCCCTGATTTTCCAAGTTTTCCAGACCGCTGGACACCCTGACTACCCATCCATAAAAAATGAGTATGTTACAAGAAATTGTCACTTGGAGATTCTAATCTGTAACTTACTCTGTTGAGTGAATCAAGGACTTTATCAGGCATGTGGTCCTGGATCATGACCGGGGAGATTAAAACCTCGTCAAAGTCTGTGTTGTTCGCCCACAGAGCTTGATACACAGGCTCATGTTTGTTCAACCACCGCCTGAAACAGAGAGATAAATATTTTCAAGGACACATGACATGGAAAATTTTCAAGAAAAATTCAGTTACACTAGTCAGAATGATTTTTTTTTATGGTTGAGTCTAATAGATTGGCGCAAAAATAAAGAGAGTTGTTCAAACATCAATTTTTTAAGACAAAACTCAAATTTATAAATAATATGTAAATTATGTATTTATAATAATATATTTGGGCAACTTGCCCGTTTTGTATAATAAATAAATAAATAAATAATATGGGATAGGCGGCCCGAAACGCTTCTACCCTTTTTCCCCCTTTGCGAGTTTGAGCATTCATTTCGATTCTGTACATTTTATGTTATCTTTGCCTTAATATTTCTATTATTTGGAAAAAGAGCTCTTTATCATTTGAAGGCAACACATTAAAAGAAAATCCCTGTTCTAGAACAATGGAAAAAGCCAACCATTATAAATTGGATGAAAATTTCTATTTCGACACAGAATGTGGAAACTAATTGACAAAATGGTGTTTTTGTGGGCTCTTCTTTAAAGATAGAGAATATAAATCTGCTACTAAGAATAATGATCTATTAAGACAGATTGTCAAGAAAGGTCAAAAGACATGCGATGCTTGAAAATAGATGTAGGCACGCAATTTGAAAACTAAAATAGAAACTGGTTGAAATAGTAACACACTGACATGCCTTTTGTTGTAATTGTTGTTTTTATCATTCTTCTTTTGCGAAAAGAAGAGAGCAAAAATCTTATAACAGACACGATAGAAGAGCTAATTCTGTTTACTGATTTAGCCAGTAGGTTTTATCCTTCTAACTAAATATAAATTTGTATAATACTAATACATTTTCTGACTAGAAATCTGGATTAAAGTCAACTTAAGGGATTCTACTTGTGTAAAAGTCCACTACATGAAATTGGGCTTCTGTACAGTTAAAAAAGGAGATGTAAAGTCGGCAGTCACCAAGGTCAACATTAACTGGCCGAAAAAATGTGAGACTATTCGTTGAGCATATATCTGGGCTTGACTCTAAGACTCCATTATTGAACACATACGGACTACGGAGGCTTCTTGAACAAGGATGTAAAGAGACTGGGAATAATAAGTTAAAAATGACCAAAGAATTACTACGAAGATAAACCACCCTGCATCCACACAAAGTTCATATTCAAACAGAAAATTTAAATTCAAAATCAAACATGCCCTTTGATTTTGTTCATATTTATCTTATTTTAAAACACCTCATACTTTTTCAAGGTCTGGACAAAAAAAATTCAACATTGTCTCACTCCAAGATCCTCAAATTGATCCACAATGAACAAAAAAGAAATTAAAAACATTGAAAACACAAGGAAAAACGAAATAGAAACATTTATAACTAATAATGACCAACGAAATTGTGAAAATCCCCTTGAAACTTGAAGAACGCTTTTGACTTTCTGACACGCCAAGAAATACTCCCAAGATTTCAGCCGTTTATAAGACACAGACACATATTTATAAAAGTGATACTTTAGAGTATTTAACAGTTTCTATTTGAAAGTACTGTCATGCATTCACAAAGAGGGACACAAAAGATTTTTTAAGAAGAACACAGATCATTCCAAAACCCGAACGGTTATCCGTAACGAGGGCAACACAGCATCAGAAACATGCGTTGCTTACCTCCACCATGTTTCATATTTTTGCCTGATGAAGGAAAAAAAAAACAAAGCAGAAAATTAAAATACACACTTCTTGCATCCAAGGTGGAGCTACACCTTTACTGACTGTCAATCAATACTGAGGCTTGACTGAGGTGAATTTTGATCATCTCGAAACTATTGAGACATGCTAAGAGCTGGTTTGTGCTCACGAGTCGTTGAGACACTGTCAGGCTTTTGGGCAACGTTTGCTGAACTTCATTTAAAACTGTAAACTTGCCTTCTAAAATGAGAATTTCAGTTTAAAACTGAATTCTACCGCATGTTGGATAAAAAAAAACTGAGCACGTGTATCGAGTCATTACCTCGCACTTTACTTTTAGCTGAGGTTTCCAATTGAAAGAGATGTTACCTAGTCTTAAGATACTTGTGTACAAATGCTCAGAGCAAACTGCCGAGTGGCTTTCATTTTGCAATAAGAAACCACTATCTCTGGCTCTTCCATAAAAGCACCTTTCTGCATAGGGGATTCAATGGCTTATATGTTGTTTCTAAAATTAGCTAGAAATAGTGGTTTCTTATTGCAAAATGTAGTCGGAGTATACATACGTCTTTTCTGCAGAATTTTGATGTCATTCTGAGCCTTAAAAACTTCACTTTTCAAAAAAGGTCACAGAAAATCACACCAGCCTTTCAATTTTCAGGCAATGAGCAAACTCATTTTTAGTAATACATCAATTCATCCGTCAAATGACAGCCAAAAAAGGAATGGATCCAATTTGGATTTGGGATGAACAAAATTTTATATGTATGGACAATCTTTTCCCTTCCTTTAGCCAAGAGGTTAGACTAACAAGATTGGAGAAAATTCTATCAGGTGGTTTAGGGAATCAAACTGGTTCAAATAACATTAAACCTTGTGCAGTGTTCAGAGATTTTGGGAACCATTTTGAGTGATTAAGTCTCGGAAAAAAAATATATTTTGAAAAAGCTCCCGGGAAACTGTGAGGCATATTCTCGTTGTTTTCTTATGGTGTAGTTGAAACCTTCTTCTGCGTTATCTTTTTTTAAAAAAATTCTTTTGTTATGTTTTTAGGCCGGAGGGTCTGACTGAAGTTTGTTGATGGCTGTCGCTTATTAATAATTGTAGTTTTTAATGAGATATTGGTCAACGATTTTCTGTACAGATTTGGTTTTTTCTATGCCAGTAAAAATTTCATTTAAGGAGAGTTTAGTATGGGCAAAGGAATCAAGTCTGCTGGCAGCACCAATACCGCTGATGACAAGCTCTACAATGAGCCAAAGCAGTCAAGCGCTTGCAGCAGGCCTGATTTCTTTGCCCGCACTGAACTCTTCTCAAATGAGATTTTCCCTCGCACAGTAAAAAAAAAGATTCGTGCAAAAATCGTTAGCTGATACCTCCTGGAAACTGCAACCATTATAGATATTCATTGCCTAAGTTTATATTTCATGAAACTGCAATTAAAGCACGGATATAGGTACTTTTAGTGTTATTAATTCAAAACATTGAAAATTAAACTTCAAAATAGAAAAGCTCTCAACTTCAAAACGATTTGCTGCAAAAAAGCTGCCATCTTCCTAAGCAATTAAATTAGTAATTTGCATTATAAAGGCAGCAAAGCTAGCATAATATGCGCGAGAAAAAGTTTACAGGGCACCTATCTCTTTAATTTATTCTCAAAGCTGTGGAAACTTACTCTTCTTTCGTTGGATGGTGGCGGACAATATGAATGATTTTTCCAGGTGGGAATAGAGGTTGATGGAATGACAAGGATATACTTGTATCGTTCGGCTGGTTTGCAAAAGAGCGTACAGCATCTTTTTCCCGTTGATATTCCTTCATTGTTGCGCTGTCTGCTCTTAGTTCGATGGCAGAGGTAGGCATGGGGGCACAGCCGCAGCATACAAAGCTACATACGATCGTTTTCCACTTGAAACAAACCAAGATAAGCCTGATTAGTCGATTCAGTCACATGTATTATAATCAGAAATTTTTAACAGAGATGGCCCTGCATAGAGAACCCAAGGTATTCAGAAGCAGCCAATGTTTTGTTACTATGTATTTGATATGATTAATTGAATTCTATAAGTAGCAATTTGGAGAAAAACTGGGCTGAAAAGTGAATTTTCTAGAATTTTTGTAGGCAATATCTATTAGATATGTTATAACATCTGATTGGTGATTAAGACAGAAGAAAATACTACAATTCCTCCAAATATAACAGCATGCGCTGCAACGTCTACACACACATAGCACTAGTCCCATGTTCCTGAGAGAGAACGCATTTGAGAATGTAGAAAAGTTCACTTTCTAGCCCCACTTTCCTTGACATTCACATATAGAGCGTTAGATTTGAAAATTTTATCGTGCTCAGGCGATTTTATGGAACGTCTTGTCAAGGAATGACAACGAGCCATTACACAAGAGAATGATTCATAAATTGATTTATGATTTTTCAACGACTAAATCGTTATGAATTGACGCAATTAAACATACTTGTCTCTGGAATTTGGACTTGGGGTTGTGTTCTATTGTTATTGTTTGAACCATCGCAAATGAATGTGTTGAATATTGTAAAAATAAGGTAGCCACTCAATTAGTCTGTTGCTGGAGATGACGAATATGGACATTCTCTCCTAATATCTCAAAGTAACAATTTACCTTTGGATCCTTGCTTCTTTTGATAGCATTGATCAGATCTGCTCTAAGTGCTTCCATTTGATGAAGACCTATCCGAGGAACCACATCCTTTCCTAATACTACGGAGGTAATAAATGATTTTGTGTATTCTACAGCAGGCAAACTAAGAAAAAAAATCAATACATGCCACAAATATTAGTACACGGTAGTTTGAGGTAGAAGCATAGTCAGAAATGTTTTTGGAAAGGATGCTGATGTAACATAACGGTTAAGAATAATAAAGGTGTGAAATATGCGAAACCTTAGATACTGGAAATTCAACCAATATTCTGGTAGTTTTTTAGAACAGACTGGAAGTAAATTTCATAATGGACCACTAGACAAGGAACTAATTTCAGCATTCTGATACATGTTTCTTAACCAAAATTTCACGTAGAATACGACGCGCACAACAAAAATTGCCGAAATCAACTCCTTTCAAAGATATTTAATGATTCTAGATGCGTGAATTCAAACCACCCGCTCATGAAAACTCAATGCTCTGCTTGATTCACATCGCGCGCTAAACGTTATCATGACAGTCTCTGCGATATAAAAATCGGGAAACCTTAATCTTGACGCTTTGGCTCAGCTGTAGCAAATTGCTTATAGTTTGAACAACACATGGTGGGAAATGAACATTACTCGATTGAGAAGCTTGTTGAAACCGTTGTAGTGCGCGATTTGACTCACATACAGCTTTGAGTTTCTTGTCAGCGGGCAGTTCAAATTCCTCGTAACCAATGTGAAATAAAAACGTTAATATCTTCGTTTGGAGTTTGTTTCATTAGTTTTCGTTGCGCGAATCGTGCTTTACGTGAAATTCTGGTTAAGAAACAAGTATCAGAATGCTTAAATTCGTACCTTGTCTAGTGGTCCATTCTAGGAAATGTGTATGCTTCTGCAAATCAGTATTAAAGAAGGTAGTATTTAATCACAAATTTAATCAAAACCATCGAAATTACTTTTCTTTTGGTTGAATGGGTAAAACATACAACATGGATATTATTATATTATGTGTATATAATTTCAACACTGCTGATGATTTTATAAAATCATTTCCGTGAGTTCTAATTATCCTAATTAAAATAGATAGTCCAAGAACTCTCTCTGTGATTAGTGAGACATTTATGAAAAAAGATGAAAGTTAACGTTTGAATTGATGACAAACCTAAGCAAGCCTCCTGGAGGTGAAAAAGAATAACAGTGGAGATCTGGATACTTCGGCCTCAGAAGGATGGCTAAGATTGCTGCCGTGCCTGCTCCGAGTGAATGACCCACTAACACCAACCCGAAATCCTTACCCTCGGCTTTTTTCTCACATTGTGATTTCGCTTTGTTTAAAATGTCTTCAGACTCTAATTTTTTCTTGATATATTCTGCGGCATTGACCATACCCTGATATCAAAGAAGACAAAACAATTAAAAACAAGATGAAAAGGAAGAGGCAAAAATTCTGAGAGAAAGAACTGAAAAGAACAGTTCGGGATTTCCATAATTTCTTCATTATCTGATTCCCTGACTCCGAAATTCTAACATCCTGACTTCCTCTAACTTTCCCTGACATTCATAAAAAACCTCCACTTAGGTTTATTTTCTTTCAATTACACTGACTTTTGCTAAACGATGGATGAAATGTTCACTTCTAGAGATTCAAATTAAGGAATAAAGGACCCAGTAGTTGTTTGCGTTCTCTCGAATGGCACTGGCTGAAGTATCTGAGCCAACACACCACACCACTCGCAAAGTTCCCTAACTTCCTAGGTTTTTCAGGCTCTGACTATTGCAAATTCTTGGAATTTATGTATAAACGATTCAATTTTGCAAAAAATACGTGTTTATGCCAACTTAATTTTGAGATCCACTCCAGAATAAAACGCAAATCATTTAAAATAGCTTTTCGGATAAATCCTGGAATTTTATGATAAATATGGAAAAAATTATTCATGCGTACAAATTTTGTTAAAATTATTAAGACAATAATTGATTTGGGTAAATATCTAAATTTTTTTTTTCTTTCTTCTTTCATCTGGTTTGAAGATAGAATCATCAATTTTCAAACAAAGAGGTCTGATTGTACTCAATTTCACTTCTTCTAATCCTAGAAGGAATACAAACATTACCTTGTGTCCAAGCCAATCATCCTTGGGTGGATCTAAGGGTAAACATTCACTTTCAGCATTCAAATCTGTTATCACATCCTGAAAAATAAGATAAAACATTGAAAATAATTCATTTATGTGTTCCTGACTTTGGCCTGTCAGTTATCTGCTCATAAGAAATAAAGAGAGGGGGAGAGGGAGAGAGAGAGAGAGAGAGAGAGAAAATATAATCTGTTTGAGTTAAATCCCACTTTGAATGATACTGTGAAAGTCTTTGCAGTATGAAAATTTGACAGCCTCAATATCAGTGCTTGGTTCGGCCATATTAGACGTTGTTTACGCTTTGGAGAACACACGGTGGGGAGGAAACACTGCTTTTTGAGAAACTTGCCAAAACTGTTGTAGAGCTCGATTCGATTCGAGAGGAATCTAGTTTTTCATGTGTGCAAGAATTCAATTTTTCCATAACTAATACTGAATAAAAATGTCACGGTTAGGAATTTATTTCAGTGATTTTTGTTCAATCAATCAATTCAAATTAAGAGGAAATATGTATTAGAATGCTTAAATTCATACTTGCTTGGTGACCCATTTCCATACGTTGATATTAGGTTTCCATAATTTTTTCTTTTTCCAATTCCATGACTTTTTCCTGATTTTCCCTGACCTTTAAAAAACACTTTCACTTTATTTTAGACTTTTAACTATGCTGACTTTTGCTTAACTTTGGACAACATTTCCACTTCTGAAGACTCAAATTATGGAAAAGGCACTCAAAAATTGTTTGCGGTTTCTCGGCTGATGCTGACTAAGGCTGCGGCGCCTCCATGCAACTTGCAAAATTCCTTAACAATTTTTGCGCATTCCCTGATATTCCAGATTTTTTAGACTGCCAGAAATTCTGTAAAAGTAACTTTATAATTTGTTCTTCTCGAGGAAAAACTGATCCCTGGACCAGGAAACTTACTTTCATTGACCAGGTACCCCGAATACAGATGACTATTTTCTGTTTGGTGTAATCAATGACTACAAAGAATGGTGTTTCTCCTATGTCAACATGGTATGTTGCATAAACAACATCAATATCTCCTGAGGCAACCATATTTTTGAACGCAGTATAGTTGCAGTGACAGCAGTTATCTTCTATGATGACCGGTTCGTCATCGTTGTCTGGTTTTGCTCGATGCCACCAGCAGGACGGAAGGCAGGAACACCTGATGAGAGAAATTAAAATTAGAAAATACCATACTGAAAACGCTCCTTCCTTACTACTGTGAAAAAAAGTTCAAAATTTACACATTTTCATGGCAGGTGTCTTTAAGCTTTATGGCTATATTTATAAAAATTGCAAAAACTTCAATGGCACCAATTGCTCCAGACAGCGAAATATTGCAACTGATATTCAGAAATGTTTCTGCGGTACCTCTTAATCCGCAGGATATGAATATAACCTTTGCACTAGTGCTACCATAAATTTGAATCCATTGTCATCAAAAATTAAGACACAATTATGTAACAAGTGCAATAGACCACTGAACCATGGGCAAATTTACACATTATTATGTATGTTTTTTCATAATTTCACGTAGAACCTGATTTGTACAACAAAAATTATTTTCGGTGCGAAGAAAATTCTACATTTACTTCAAGGAATGATGTCAATTTGTTCTCCTTTAAAAAAATAACATAGAGGCGGATATTTTCAGACACCGCAAAAGAGTTATGTGATTGCGGACTCACACCATCAAAACAAGGTAATCTAACAAATTTGCCCTGACATTTCCGTTATTTTCCCTGACGTTTCCCGGTTTTCCCTGACTTTTTAAAATTCCCTGACATTTCCCAGTTTTCCCTGGCTGTGGAAACCTTGAAAAAATGACTTACTTTAGTTGAAAGCAAAACTTGCAGGTGTCAGGAACAGTATGGGTGATAAGGAACATAGGCCAACCGTAAGCGGCTAAAGCATAATGCATATAATGAATCACAGTCTGAAATAAATGTACGTGGTTTTCATCACCAACAGCGACAAACTTCGTATTTGACGTGACGGCTACGCCCGAAAGGTACTCAAACGTTTCATTTTTACGCTGCAACAGGAAAATCATTAAAACTAGATGATTCATTGGAAAACCATGTGTAGAGAGACAAATAATTACTCAAAAATATTTTCATTGGATTGTAAAAATAAGATAAGAGGTTCGAGGGTTTGAGCTCTTCTGCAGATGTCAGAAGTTTAAAAAGCCCTGAATGGACTCATGATCAAATTCTTGTTTCGAAAAAAGCCAAACTCAGAGGCTAAATTTTTTTTTACAGAGCAAAAAACTAAGTCCAATAAAAATTAACGGGAAAAAACTGTGGCCCGAACTGTATGTAACAAGCTGGTAAAATTGTGCTGGCCACAATATTTTGCAAAGAAAGCAAGGCCGAAAAGTTACAAAAAATTTCAAATGGAGTCACAAAATTTTAGAGCTCTAAAAATTTGCAAGAGTAATTATCAAAACAAAAAAAATTGAATTTAAAAATTAACCGAGTAGAATACTTTTCAAAAAAAAATTACAAAGTCTTCTCCCGACCCACTGTGTGATTTAGGAAAAATAAAACTTGAAGATCTTAGTTGTAAGAATTAAAAGAAAACAAAGTTCATAATAATAACAAAACGAGAGTAGGAGATAAGATATTAATGGGCAGAAAATTCAAGTTTTATTGAAACTCCCAAAACATCAGGAGAGTTCAGAGCGAAAATCATTATAAAAGTTACTCTTTCTCCCTCCACTTGGGAGAAATCAATTTTCCCAGTTACAGGACTAGGTCACTTTCCCCGGTTCAAAGCAACTACTAATTACACTAATTATAACTTTGAGATAAATATAAAAGGGTGGCGTACTTCATTGACAACAGCTTCTCTTTCAATTTTTTGGAATTTGCGCAGCAACACAAGACCAGCGATTACATCTGATGGAACAACATCTAGGTCTCTAAAAAAGTCTGAAAGAAGTCTGGCAATATCCGCAAAGGAATTCTGGAAAAGATATGGAAAGGAAAAAAGTATTGAGACATTGGAACTGGATGCCAGTACGGTCGAGAGGGTGTTTAATCTGATATCTCTTACACTAAGTCCAGACGGTAATGTAACATGCAATCAGGAATCCAGAAAACGTTTAAATACTTAGATGAAACCTAAAACCTCTACTTTAGAGATCAGGTCCTATAATAACCGAAATTCTCACAAAAAAGTTTTCCGAAAGGGATGCTCATAATTTCCAGTGTAGTTTATGGAAATGCCCACCGATCATCATCATGCGTTTCTTTAACATCCATTTTTTTTTCCTCCTTTAGTTCAAGTTTTTACGACCGAACTCACTCAAAGGATCAAATGTTTCATTTGCAAAAAAGAGAAGAAAAAATTCACTTATTTGCCTGACGCTTCCGACAAACGTGATACGTGACATGGCATTGAAGTTTTAATGCAACTATTAGTGCTCTGAGATAATGCATATTGCATGCGTTAAAATTGAAGGCGCACATGCCTGTCCGTCTTTTACTTTTGTCACTTTCTTATCGACGATGCATGACTCTCTGTCACTTTAAATTTTTTCGTAATTTTACGGGGCGGAGATTGCTCTCTGGACTGACCCATTCCATTGGTTCAACACTTGGTTTTACATACGATACAGAATCTACAAAAAGCATTTGACACACCGACCAAAATCTTCTGAATTGCGTTTTTTACCGTCATTTTCTATAAATTCAGATCTACGGGATTTTATTCCTCGGCTGTAAGCATTATTCGTTCACAAAAACAGGAGGCCAAAATTCCAAGACATTCCTTCAAACTTATTTGCTATTTCATTCTTTTTGAGCCTTTCTGGCACGATTTAAAATCCTCCTTCTATAATGCTCATTAGAAATTTGAAACGAAAGATGCTCCAAAAAAAGATTCAATTTTGGGATTTTTGATTGAATAATATGGAGCTTCAAAAATATTGACAGTTACCTTATTCCTGTCATTGTTTCCCATACAACAGAATAAAAGTCGACATCTATGGTCCCAACTATCTTGATACGCTCTTATCACCTTCCTATAACAGAAAGAAAGAAAAGAATATTAACAATCTGGCAAGTAGTGCCGCTACTGCAGTTTTGACCGTTAAGGCCGTAGTTCAAGGGCACTAAAGCCAGGGTTGTATTTCGCAAATGGATAGTGTATGCAGAATAATTAAAAATTGAAAAGCAGGAATAATTTAACTAAATAATAAAAGGAACTCAAATCTAAAATATAATGCAAAAAAAATTTGGAAATTCTCGTCATGTAAATACAGAAGATTCGAGAACGCCTTCAATTGAAGCGTGATACCTCACGCGTTCCGGGGAGTTCGAATAGTTGTATCCCTGCGCCTTACCAAGGCGATGGAAGTTTAATATTGAAGTAGCGTCCCCGTTTGGTTTTTCGGCTTTCCTGTGCCGCTACTGCAGTTTCGACCGTTAAGGCCGCACCGAAAACAATGGTATGCTGTTTTGGCACCTAGGATGTCAAAAATGTGTCTGGTCATCCTAAGATGCTACCTTGATTGCCCATGCAGTTGAATTTGCATTAGTATAATGTAAAGTTAACTGCGAGGGCTGTAAAGGCAGCATTTTGGGATCACCGGACACATTTTTGACATCCTAGGTGCTAAAATAGCATACTATTTTTTTCAGTGTGGAGTTAAGGGCGCGAAAGCCAGGATTGTAATTCGCAAAAAGATAATTTTTGCAGAATAATTAAAAATTAAGAAGCAGGAATAATTTAACTAATTAATAAAATGAACTCAAATCGACAGTATAATTCAAACGAATTTGGAGAGTCTCGTCATGTAAATACAGAAGATTCGAAAACGCCTTCAATTGAAGCGTGATACCTCACGCGTTCCGGAGAGTTCAAATAGTTGTATCCCTGCGCCTTAGCAAGGTGAAGGGAGTTTAATATTGAAGTAGCGTCCCCGCTTGGTTTTCGGCTTTCCTGTGCCGCCAGAGGCGGACTGGCCATGGGGTCTGGGAGGCGATCGCCTCCTAACAATTTGACGCGGAGGTCCCGAAGGGGCCCCCGCGGGGAATTTTTTTCGAGTCATCGTTTTTTTCCCGTAATGTTTTAGTTTTCTAATCCTTTTCAATCACTAAAAGGCCCCGAATTCCTTGAAAATTTGTCTCTAAGAGACATGGAAGGTCGCCAAAAGCATTTGTGGTGAAGGAACCCTCGATGAATCCTGAGAATGAGTCATTTTGAAGTTCAAGTACTGTAGAATCCAACTCCAATAATGCCTACGTGTTTAAAAAGTGTGAAATTTTCAAAATTTACCGGGGGAGGGCTCCCGGACCTTCTTAGAGGGGCCCCCGAACGACGGGAGGGGCCCTTACATTTAGGTCTCCTCCTAACTTTTCGACTACCAGTCCGCCCCTGCTGGCAAGCTTGCACTAATTTTTGTTAGAAGAACCGCAAAGTCTTTAGGCTACTCCGAACCTGCGTAGTGGTTGACACTTGTTCATTTCTGGCATCTAGACCAAACTAGACGATGGGACCAATGGAGAAGGAATGAAACTTGCGGGAATTTTTACGGATCCTTTTCAACATTTCACGTGGAAATATTGAAAAAAAAAATGATGAACGTTCTGATCAGATGAACATTTATACAGATCCTTTGGATCTTACAGTGTCCATACTCCCTCTACAAAAGCACTCTCGTGTGCTTTGATTTCTTTCTGTAAAATTTCTTCCGAACTGAACCCGATATGAGGACAAGGACGAGAGTCTCATAGTTCGTCGCCTTCCAGATGAAAGAATGTGAAGTACACGGACATTTCAACATTGCAAAGTTTCCTTCCGCAAATTGTACTTTTACTAGAGAACTGTTGAGTTCCTTACAGAAAGTTTCACTGATTTTTCCTCTCAATATAAAATGCGAAAGTAAGCAGAATTTTGGACAGAAATAAATCATGAGTCTTAAAAAGTTGAACAGAATTAGGTTCGTATTCATTGTCGCCAGAGATGGAAAGTGAAATTTCACGTGAAATTTCATAAGGCTCGAATAAATTTCACAAAAGTTGAAATTTATTAATTTTTTTTAGAATTATTGATTGAACCTTTGAAGGTCTGAAAGCGTTTCAGATGGTCTTTCTGTAATGCTGCGGTGTTATGCGACTCTACTGAAGGTGCCAGACACAAAGAGGGGGCAAAAAGGGGAGTTAAGAGAGAAAAACCCCAACCTAACATCTAAACTAAACGATAACATTTCCAGCGCGCGAATGTTTTAGGCTTGGGGTAAAACATTTCAAAATTTAGAATCACTGTTTCTAGGCATTCCTTAGCCTCCTGAATGTATCCCCAAAAGTTTCAATAAATTTCACGCGTGAAATTTCACTCGAATAAATTTCATGAAATTTTCCATCTCTGATTGTCGCTCCTTAAAAAGCTCATTGCTTAGGAGACCCCATATGGTTTACATGTTGATTAAAGGCTGTTTAAGGATATCCTTAACATATCATCATCAAAACGATAATTTTGACGGATCTCGAGTAAAATTCGACATTTTTTAGGAAGCACACCCTTGTGAGGGATTACGACGACTGAAGTGCTTGTACGAAAAAAAAATGAATACGGGGGAATTAACAACTTTCTATATTTTCCTCCGATGGGTCTGTTGCAAACTGCAGCTTAGTTAAAAGATTACTTGTTCCTCATATAAAACTACTACTTGGATTGCATTTTGCAAAAAGGAACCACTAGCATTGCAATGTTGCTGAGATTGTGCAACTTCTTTTGTCTTGGAGGAAAACCTCGATTATCCCTCAATAGTCTCTATTTTACTCGCTAAAAACTGTAAATTTAAGACAATAATAATTATTGAAATAATAATTATTTAGATGGTAATTATTACCATCTAAATTTCATAGTTTTTCACAATTTCCGCAATTTTATTGCAAAGGATGAAGTTGCACAATCTTAGCGTCATTGCAATGCTAGTGGTTCCTTTGTGCAAAACGCAATCCAGTTGTTCCTCGTATAAAACAACTACACGGTTTTCACCGTCGGCAACGCGGGGGAGGGATGGTGATTCCAACCTAGATTCGGAGTGGGTGATGCGTGATGCCTGACGCGGCTCCGCGTCCGCGGTCGGGTCTCACTTAAGTCGGATGAGCGGACCCGCCGCGCCGCGCCGTCGCGACGGAAAAGCTGAACATGCAAATGGCAAAGGCTTCTCGGCGACAAAGGCCATGGGGCTCATCCACCGCGCGATCGGGGCGGGGGAAGGGGTCGGCGAACCCGCACGAGGTTGTCGTTTCCTCCACAATACTCCCAATGGAGATGTTGCATGTGTGAGGAATTTGCGATTTGACCATTGATTCTCATGTAAAAGTTCGCGAGAAACACGATGGCGCCACTGGTTTTCTCTGAAATCAACTCCCAAGCTCAAAAAAAGCTTTCAAGTTGAGGCCAAAATGGAGGGGATATCCCACGCTATCCTAAGAGTCCACCTCTACATTAAAACAAACTCTCCATGCAAAGATAGGGAGCAAATACATTAGCGGGGTTGCCAAGTTTTCAGTTTCGGAGTCCACAAATAAAGTGGCAGCCCTGTCAATGTATTTGCTCCCTATCTTTGCATGGAGAGTTCGTCTTGATGTAGAAGTGGACTCTCAGGATAGCGTGGGATATCCCCTCCATTTTGGCCTCAACTTGAGAGCTTTTTTTGAGCTGGAGAGATGATTTCAGAGAAAACCAGTGGCACCATCGTGTTTCTCGCGAACTTTTACGTAAGAATCAGTTGTCAAATCGCAAATCCCTCACACATGCAATACCTCCATTTAAGGATGAACTCCGAATGAACATTCGAGAGTCACCAAATTTCCTTCAATAAAATGTTTATTTTTGAGGAGAGTCATGGATATTTTTCCTTGAAAGTTTCAGAAACTTCAGATGAAATTGCAAACAAAATTGTCTGAAAAAATGGAGGGAAAACATACATAAGTTTACTGGGAAATTCGTGTTTTATCACAGGGAATTTGACAACGTCTGAAAGCTCATACGGCGTTTTCCCGAATATTCTTATCCTCTGATACTTATCCTCCGTCCGTTGATTTTGGATACCACTATTCGAACTCTAAGGAATGCGCATTGCATACCTGCTCAATTGAAGGCTAACACGCACAGACAATGAGCGTGCGACGAAGGAAGGTGTCTCACGGGAAGAAATTCGGCGACCCCTGAATGTTCATGAGACGTTTTTTCTTCAAACAGTAGAATAAGGGCTGGTAAGAGATGGAAAATTCCATGAAACATTAAAACATGAAATTTCTTCTAACTTGTGCAATGGACTGATGCCACACTGGAAAAAAAACACATTCCAGTGTCCAGACTCTTAAAAACATCGACAAGAAAAAATACTCTTGATTCAATCAGATGTAAGCTTAAATCAAGAACCAATCCTCTTAATTTGAGCGGATTTCCTTTTGATTTAAGCTTAAATCTGATTGAATCAAGAGGCCGTTTTCTTGTCGATGTTTTCAAGAGTCTGGACTCTAGATCCAATGTGTTTTTTTTCCAGTGCAGGAAACGCATAGAAACAGTAAAATCTTACGTTTTGAACTTATGGAGAGAAAAAAATACCGTAAGTCAAACTACAAAGTTTCTTATCGCAATCTCGGATAATCGTTGCGGGTTTCATACATAGCCCCTAAAATTTCATGAGAGATATCGTTTTTCTTTTTATCGAAAGGAAATTTCATTTTTCATCGCTGGGGCTGCTGGTGCAAACTTCTTCTGGGACTATGAGGCGAGGTGCTCCTTAAGACCTGACTATCATGCCTACCACTTAGACGGGTTCGGCCCTCTAATGTTTTATTTTTATTCAAACAGGGCTCATGACAGCTTTTGAGAACCAAAATCTAAGATTTTCAAGGACTTTCGAAAAAAAAAAGACAAGAGCTATCTAGGACGCACAGGAAATACTTCGAATACAGAGAGCAAAGTCAAAAAATGGCAGTTCTTAAAGCCGTCTCATAATTTCATTTTCTGTGATTCACAGAAAAAGAGAAGAACGTGCAA